GCAGAGACTATGTCTCAAATCATTTATAAGGTGGTCAGCATTACCCTACACCAAAATCAAACAAAAATATTATATGAAAACTATATGCCAATATACTTCAGGAACACTGACGTAAAAGTTCCTAACAAAATTTTAGAAAATCAAATCCAATAATAAATAATAAGAAAACTACATCATATCTGAATTGGCTTTATCACAAGAATGCAAGGCTGGTTCAGTATTAAAAAACTGATCAAGGGACTTCCCTGGCGGTCCAGTGGTTAGGACTCCACTCTTCCAATGCAGTGGGTGCGGGTTCGATCCCTGGTTGGGGAATTAAGATCCCACATGTTGCACTGCATGACCAAAAAATAAAATAAAAAATAAATTTTTTTTTTAAATTAAAAAAACTGATCAAAGGGGAATTCCCTAGCAGCCCTGTGGTTAGGGCTCCACGCTTCCACTGCAGGGGGAACAAGTTTGATCCTGGTTGGAGAACTAAGATCCCTGCTGCATGCTGCGCAGCATGGACAAAACAAAATAAAACAAAACAAAACAAACTGATCAAAGCAATTCACTATATCAATGACAAGGGAAACTACATGATGATCAATGGATAAATAAGATGTGGCATACATATACAATGGAATACTACTTAGCCATAGAAAAGACAAAATCTTGCCATTTAAGACAACATGGGGACTTCCCTGGTGGTCCAGTGGTAAAGACTCCGCCTTACAACACGGGGGACTCGGGTTCAATCCCTGGTCAGGGAACTGGGGTGCCACATGCCGCAAGGCAGCTGGGCCCACGTGCCACAAATACTGAGCTCGCACACCTCAACAAGAGCCTGCATGCTGCAAAATACAGAGCCCACGTGCTCTGGAACCCGCATGCCACAACTACAGAGCCCATGCACCCTGGAGACTGCATGCCACAACTAGAGAAGAGAAAAACCTGCATGGCACAACTAGAGGGAAGCCCACGCACCACAAGGAAGAGCCCACATGCCTCAATGAAAGATCCCACGCGCCTCAACGAAGATCCCATGTGCCACAACTAAGACCCAATGCAGCCAAAAATAAATAAAATAAATAATAAATTAATCTTAAATAAAAGAAGACAACATGGATGGATATGCTAAGTGAAATCAGTCAGACGAAGAAAGACAAATCCTGCATGATTTCACTCATACGTGTAATATAAAAAACAAAACAAAAACAAAATAAATGAACAAACTAAGCCAAACAAAAACAAACACATAGATACAGAGAACAAAGTCGTGGCTACCAGAGAGGAAGGAAGGGGGGCATCAGAGGAAGAAATGGGTAAACAGGATCAACTGTATGATGAGGGATAAAAAATAAATTTTTGGTGGTAAGCACGCTGTAGTGTATACAGAAGAAGAAATATAATGTTGCACACATGAAACATATATAATGTTATAAACCAATGTTACCTTGATAAAAAATAAACTAAAAATATAAAGTGAAAAGTTGGAAAAAATAGAGGAGGGGTTAAATATAAGTTATCATACAATGGAATTCAACTGTTAAAAAGTGAGGTAGAGATGATACACTTGCAATGGGTGATTTTTCAATTAAGCTGTTTAAAAAGTGAAAAATTAATCAGGTAGTGTTACAAAAAATAAAGAAAAACCATATGATCATCTCAGTTTATGAAGAAAAAGCATTTGATAAAATTTCACAACCATTCATGGTAAAAAGCTCTCAACAAAGTATGAACAGAGGAAATTTCTCAAGAAACTGAAAAAAGAGCAAATTAAATGCAAGAAATATTAGATAAGAGCCAAAATCAATGAAATTGAAACAAAAAAAAGCAATAGAGGGGGCTTCCCTGGTGGCTCAGTGGTTGAGAGTCCACCTGCCGATGCAGGAGACGCGGGGTTCGTGCCCCGGTCCGGGAAGATCCCACATGCCGTGGAGCGGCTGGGCCCATGAGCCATGGCTGCTGAGCCTGCACGTCCGAAGCCTGTGCTCTGCAACAGGAGAGGCCACAACAGTGATAGGCCCGCGTACCACAAAAAAAAAAAAAAAAAAGCAATAGAGAAAAAACAATAAAATCAAAGGCTGGTTCTCGGAAAAGATCAATAAAATGTATAAACCTCTAACCAGACTGGTCAAGAAAAAAGAGAATTACTAAATTCAGGAACAACAGAGGGAACATCACTATACATCCTAGACATTAAAAGGAAAATAAAGGAGTATTATGAATTTTATGCCAATAAATTTAATAACTGAGATGAAATGGACAAATGTCTTTGAAAGAGAAACATTATCAAAGCAGTCTCTAAAGAAATATATAACCTGAATAGTCCCACATCTATTAAAGAAATTTAGTTTATACTTAAAAACCGTCCAACAACAGCAAAAAAATCCAGACCCAGACAAGCTTCACTGTCACATTCTAGCAAACATTTAAGAAAAGAAATAACACCAATTCTATACAAAATTTTCCAGAAACTAGACGAGGGAATAGTTCCCAACTCGTTTTAAGGCCAGCATAGCCCTGATACCAAAAACATACAAAAGCATCACAAAAAAAGAAAACTATAGCCCAACATCCCTCATAAATACAGATGCAAAAATCCTTAACAAAACATTAGCAAACCGAATCCAGCAATATATAAAAAGTTTAATACACCATGACCATGTGGAGCTTATCCCAGAAATGCAAGGCTGGCACAACATTCCAAAACTCAATCAGTGTGATTCAATAGATAAAATCTTGGGTCATGGAAGCCCGAAATCTAGGGCAGGATAAGAACGGGTTATACCCTTGACATTTTACATGCCTGTGTCACCACCTTGCACAATTCCAAAGGCATCATTTATATTGAAGTCTTTGTGTTCTACACGAATCATACCCCTGGCACTGTGCAATATAGTGGTATTGCAAATGTGTAAAATGGTTGCCCAAAAGGCAATGCAACCTTGAGTTGGACTAACAGAAATGAAAGATCCAGATGAACAGATTTTATCTTCCAGACATTACACTTGGCCCTGTTCACACAATACCTGGAATATTCTACCTAGTCCTGAACTCTAATACTTCCAAGAGGGCCAACGAATTTCACTACAGAACCAAAGTAATAATGGCAAAAGAGTTCTAAACATTTTATATGAAAAGAGTTGAAGAAACTGGAAATGTTTAACCTTCAGAAGGAAGGACCTATGGAGTATACACTATAATTATATGCCTTTATTTTCTATGCCCTGAAGACATAATATGCCCTATTTATCTGTGTATTGCAAATACCTATCACTGGTCCTGGAACCCACTAAGTACTCACATGTATGAGGGGTTCAAGAACAGGAAAAACTAAACTTTAATACTAGAAGTCAGTGGTTGCTCTGCAGTGGGGAAGGGAGAAAGAAGTGATTGGAAAGGGCATTATGGCACTGTTACATTTTATAGCATCTTGTCAAATGTGCCCCTTCTCCCCAGAGCTGTAAAGTTTTTATCTCATTAGCCTGAATTGGGCATGGGCCAGTTCTTGATTGGTGTATAGTAATTACAACTCTCCTGGACTGGGAGTCAACTGAACCACAGGGTTTGACCCTGGAGGAATTATGGAAAGAACACTGGAGAGATGATTACAATACCCACAAGCCCCACCACCGGACTAGCCAAATCACTCTGGTGATGAAATGAAATGACAGATACCACAGCAAGATGATTCTCATGTTCAGAAATGGTGTTTAAATTATTAACGATGATGTTAGACATCGGCAGAATTCATCCAAATTTCACAAATAATCTAAATTGTACATGTACTGCTCTTTACAGTGTTTTCCTAAAAAACTCTTTGAAAGTATAATCCTGAAAGTTAATATTTTCCAACAACTTGTATTATAATTTCAAAGTGTAACTGAAATGCCCCAAATAAACACTTTATTGACAAAATCAACTTTAAAACTCTTAGCATACAACAGGAAAACACATGCTGCAAAAGGGCATATAGCCTGGTGCTCAGGTATGCAAACAAAAGCAACACACAGGACCCTGGGCAAGTCACTCCCCTTCCATGGTTTCCTCATCTAGCAAATAATAAACAAATGAATAAATAATAAAACAGATGGTCTCTCCTGCTAAACAAAAAGTTCAGGTATTTTCCAATGCCTGGCAAGTAGCTAGGACATCCAGTCCTTTAGACATGGAAGAACATCCAGTATAGTCACTGACAACTTGATGCAAACCCTCCTAAGACTTCATAGGTTAACAAATGAAGAAATCCTATTCCTCTATATAAAATATATATATCTCTATTGGATTTTATTTTATTTAAAAAAATTTTTTTTGGCTGCGCCGCACGGCATCTTAGTTCCCCGATCAGGAATCAAACCCGGGCCCCCGGCAGTGAAAACACTGAGTCCTAACCACTGGACTGCCAGGGAATTATCGCTGTATCATATTTTTAAAGGCAGTTCTTTACAATATAGGTCCTCACCTAGTTAGGCTTCCCAGACTCAATTTTTATAAAACCTCACACTTATTTAACATATGTATATATGAGATTATTTGAGGCCCGATATGTACTATAGGAACTTTAGAGTGGTTTTTCCACAAGTAGAAAATTAGTACACATTTATATAATAATAAAACCCCATTTAAACATATTTACAGGTAGGGACTTCCCTGGTGGCACAGTGGATAAGACTTCACGCTCCCAATGCAGGGGCCCTGGTTCTATCCCCGGTCATGGAACTAGATCCCACATACATGCCGCGACTAAGAGTTCACATGCCACAACTAAGGAGCCCGCCTGCCACAACTAAGACTCAGCATAATGAAATAAATAAATAAACATATTTATAGGTAAAATCAATCCCGTAATATCTAACAACTTCACAAAATAAAAGCTAGATATGGGAGAACATTCAGACTACTGCTTTTCCCAACAATCATATTTGTAAAAGCTCTAGTGGATACAGGATAGAAGAATCAATAAGACAGAGAAATTGTGCAAATATACACACAAAATGAAATTATATACAGACCTTTTTTCAGCCGGGGTTTTAGAGATTCAGCAGATGCAGGAAACTGAGTTCTCTGAAATGAAAGAAGTCTGTTAAAACACCACCATAAATCTTGCTAGCTTAAAGAAGCATTAAAATAACAATCATCAATAGCCCTCCAATCATGCAAATAATCCATTACCTGCATACATGTACAAAGAATTATTTGAATATGGTTTAAAAAACAAATGTCAGGTCATACTTTTGCTGTCCAAACTATTAATAATGTATAATTCATATTTATAATATATAATTACTTACAGTATATACTTATTTTAATTATAATGCATGATATAATGTATACAAATTAATGTCAACATATTAGTATTATACTTAATGCTATACTTCTTAGCAGCCAACCAAAAAAGTGATAATTTTGATAAGAGGAAGCTTATGAGGTCATCTACACAGAGATGCTCTAGCACTCAGTTCTAGGAGGGAGTATTTTAAAAGGGTCATTATTTAATATTATAGATACTATACTGTACTATAACTTCGCAGAAAATCTTCAAATGAATTTTTCTTCTATTTACCTCCCATGTTATATATGATAAGGTATGATATAAGCAAAAATAATGGCTGAACATTTCCAGAAGTATACGAGACACACTAATCTTTAGATTCTGGATGCTCAACCAATTCTAACCAAGTTAAATGAAAATAAATCCACACTTTAGATACATCATAGGGACATGCACAGGGACAATAATAAGTTCTTAAAAATAACCAAAGAAAAATAATATCACCAGATTACCTGCAACGAAAGGACAGTTAGATTGACAGCTGACTTCTCAACAATTAAAAATGGAAGATAATATCACATGACATTATAAGAATAACTATCCCCAAGAGTAAAGTACTAAGTAAAATGAATATTAACCTAGACAAGAGATCACCAAACTATGGCTCACAAGTCAGATACAGCCTATGTTTATGTGGTCCATAAGCTAAGAATAATTTTTATATTTTTCATGGTTAAGAAAAATTTTAACAATATTTTATAACACATGGAAATTATATGAAATTCAAACTTCAGTGTCTACAACCAAAATTTTATCACAACAGTCACACTCACGTGTTTACATATTGCCTATAGTTGCTTCCGCTCTACAACTGCAGAGTTGATTTACTTGTGACAGACAATATATGGCCCATGAAGCTCAAACTATTTACTATTGGCCCCTTAAAAAACAGTTTGCCAACCCCCAATCTGAACTCTTACACAAATCAAAACTAACGTTCACGAACAATAGCAAATTTTAAGAGGCTTTCAGACAAATAAAATTTGACTTTTTAGAATCCCTAAATAAACTTTTAATGGACATATTTACATTAGAAGAAAGGAAAACAACCCCAGAAGGAAGGAGTGGAACAAGCAAAGGAATTGGTAAAATATGGACATATATTATAAGCATCTACTTACTGAATAAAACAAAGTATAATTTGTGGTGCTGAACTGAGAAACACAAAAACTAAAAAACTGAACAACGGCATGAATTGGCAGAAAGCAAAGGGTAACAAAACATTCGATGATCCCTGTATTATTCAGGTTTACGTTTGAACTTTAAGTTAAATATCTATTATTTTTAAAAATCTGGATACTCACTTAAGGAAGATTAAAGTAAGAAAAGAAGAAAAATTGAAATTCTCTAGTTAAAAGACAGATTATCAGAATGGATTTTTTTAAATCTAGATATATGCTACCTGTATGCAGATATCAGAATGCGGAGAAAGCTCTGACCCTCTGAAGATGCTGGGCTGGCAGGTTCATGCTGCTGATTAGCAGGTGTGTTGACAAGCTTTCTAGAACCTATCTGGGGTGAGAAAGAGGGCTGTGGGGAAAAAAAGACTTCTAATGTTAAGAATAGCTAAGGAACTTCCCTGGTGGCACAGTGGTTAACAATCCACCTGCCAATGCAGGGGACACAGGTTCGATCCCTGGTCCGGGAAGAGCCCACATGCCACGGAGGAACTAAACCCGTGAGCCACAACTACTGAGCCTGCGCTCTAGAACCCTCGAGTCACAACTACTGAAGCCCCCATGCCTAGAGCCCGTACTCTGCAACAAGAGAAGCCACTGCAATAAGAAGCCCACACACCACAACGAAGAATAGCCCCCACTCTCCATGGCCAGAAAAAGCCTGTGTGCAGCAACACAGACCCAACGCAGCCAAAAATAAATAAATAAATGAATAAATGTATTAACAAAAAAATCTGGGTACTCACTTAAGGAAGATTAAAGTAAGAAAAGAAGGAGAAAAAATGAAATTCTCTAGTTAAAAGATTATAAGAATGGATTTTTTTTAAATCTAGATATATGCTATCTGTATAAAGAAACATCTAAAACATAAGGTCAAAGGAAAACAAAGTAAAAGGATGAGAACAGATACAGCAGGAAAACAGAAGCAAAAAGAAAAAGGAGCAGTATTAGCACTGAGACAAAATAGACTTCAAGAAAAAAACCTTCATCAGGAAAATGAAAACAAATTAAAATAGACTGAATATTAAAATGGAAAGAGCAAATTTTAAAAACTTTAAAAAACACACTATACATAGAGAATCCTAAAGATGCTACCAGAAAACTACTAGAGCTAATCAATGAATTTGGTAAAGTAGCAAGATACAAAATTAATGCACAGAAATCTCTTGCACTCCCATACGCTAATGATGAAAAATCTGAAAGAGAAATTAAGGAAACACTCCCATTTACCACTGCAACAAAAAGAATAAAATACCTAGGAACAAACCTACCTAAGGAGACAAAAGACCTGTATGCAGATAACTATAAGACACTGATGAAAGAAATTAAAGATAATACCAACAGATGGAGAGATATACCATGTTCTTGGATTGGAAGAATCAACATTGCGAAAATGACTAAACTACCCAAAGCAATCTACAGATTCAATGCAGTCCTTAACAAACTACCAATGGCATTTTTCACAGAACTAGAACAAAAAATTTCACAATTTGGGGCTTCCCTGGTGGCGCAGTGGTTGATAGTCCGCCTGCCGATGCAGGGGACACGGGTTCATGCCCCAGTCTGGGAAGATCCCACATGCTGCGGAGCGCCTGGGCCCGTGAGCCATGGCCGCTGAGCCTGCGCATCTGGAGCCGGGAGAGGCCACAACAGTGAGAGGCCCACGTACCGCATAAAAAAAAATTTCACAATTTGTATAGAAACACAAAAGACCCCAATCTTGAGAAAGAAAAACGGAGCTGGAGGAATCAGATTCCTGGGCTTCAGACTATACTACAAAGCTACAGTAATCAAGACAGTATGGTACTGGCACAAAAACAGAAATATAGATCAATGGAACAGGACAGAAAGCCCAGAGATAAACCCACGCACATATGGTCACCTTATTTTTGATACAGGAGGCAAGAATATACAATGGAGAAAAGACAGTCTCTTCAATAAGTGGTGCTGAGAAAACTGGACAACTACATGTCAAAGAATGAAATTAGAACACTCCCTAACACCATACACAAAAATAAACTCAAAATGGATTAAAGACCTAAATATAAGGCCAGACACTATAAAACTCTTAAAGGAAAACATAGGCAGAACACTCTATGACATAAATCACACAAAGATCCTTTTTCACTCACCTCCTAGAGAAATGGAAATAAAAACAAAAATAAACAAATGGGACCTAATGAAACTTAAAAGCTTTTGCACAGCAAAGGAAACCTTAAGCAAGACGAAAAGACAACCCTCAGAATGGGAGAAAATATTTGCAAACGAAGCAACTGACAAAGGATTAATCTCTAAAATATACAAGCAGCTCATGCACATCAATATCAAAAAAACAAACAACCCAATCCAAAAATGAGCAAAAGACCTAAACAGACATTTCTCCAAAGAAGATATACAGATTGCCAACAAACACATGAAAGGATGCTCAACATCACTAATCATTAGAGAAATGCGAATCAAAACCACAATGAGGAATCACTTCACACCAGTCAGAGTGGCCATCATCAAAAAATCTACGAACAATAAATGCTGGAGAGGGTGTGGAGAAAAGGGAACCCTCTTGCACTGTTGGTGGGAATGTAAACTGATACAGCCACTATGGAGAACAGTATGAAGGTTCCTTAAAAAACTAAAAACAGAACTACCATACGACCCAGCAATCCCACTACTGGGCATATACCCTAAGAAAACCATAATTCAAAAAGAGACACGTACCACAATGTTCATTGCAGCACTATTTATAATCGCCAGGACATGGAAGCAACCTAAGTGTGCATCGACAGATGAATGGATAAAGAAGATGTGGCACATATATACAATGGAACATTACTCAGCCATAAAAAGAAACAAAATTGAGTTATTTGTAGTAAGGTGGATGGACTTAGAGTCTGTCATACAGAGTGAAGTAAGTCAGAAAGAGAAAAATAAATACCGTATACTAACACATATATATGCAATCTAAAAAAGAAAAAAAAATGTTTCTGAAGAACCTAGGGTCAGGACAGGAATAAAGACACAGATGTATAGAATGGACCTGAGAACACGGGGAGGGGGAAGGGTAAGCTGGGATGAAGTGAGAGAGTGGCATGGACATATATACACTACCAAATGTAAAATAGCTAATGGGAAGCAGCCACATAGCACAGGGATATCAGCTCGGTGCTTTGTGACCACCTAGAGGGGTGGGGTAGGGAGGGTGGGAGGGAGACGCAAGAGGGAGGAGATATGGGGATATATGTACATGTATAGCTGATTCACTTTGTTGTAAAGCAGAAACTAACACACCATTGTAAAGCAATTATACTTCAATAAAGGTGTTAAAAAAATACATAAGGTAGGGAAGGATTACTTCCAACAAGATATAAAAGCACAAACCAATTAAGAAAAGATCTAAACATTCAACTACATTAAAATTAATAACTTCTGGGGACTTCCCTGGCAGTCCAGTGGTTAGGACTTGGTGCTTTCACTGTCAGTGTCCCTGGGTTCAACCCCTGGTTGGGGAACTAAGACCCCATAAGCTGCGCAGCTCAGCCAAAAAAATAAAAAATAAA